TTTTAAACAGGATGGCGCACCTGCATACTATCACAGAATGGTTAGACAATGAACAATATTTGGATACCGTTTTGCCACAGATATGGTTTGGCCGAAGAGGTGCAGTTGTGTGGCCGGCAAGATCTCCCGACTTAACTCCATTGGATTTTTTGTGGGTCTATCTAAAGGTCCACATCTATGAAAACAGACCAACTAATATAAATAAGTTAAAAGATGGTATACGTCTTGAAATGCAGGCACTTTCTCCAGAAATGATCAATAATTCTGATATATCACTCGATCTACATTACCATTTAAAAAATGGCGGTGGTACGCTTAACGCAAACGTCACATAAATTTGATATGTCCTCTAAAAAATACAGAATACAATCCCTTTCATCATCCTACAATTTCATAATTGAAGAGTGGAAGTAACAAAGGTGAAGAGTGCCAAAATTTATATTTTGCGATAATTGAGAAAAAAATAATAAAACAACATAATACATTATTTATTCTTTATTTTTTCAAAATTTAGCTTAAGAGCAACACGGAAAATTAGTTTAGAACAAAAAACCAGTTAAGGTGATTACACCACCCCCTCATAATTTTCGGACAAGGATATCTCGAAAGTAATTTTTTAAAAAAATAAACGTCTCGTTAAGTGCTATTTTCTGGTTTAAACTGGTGTAAACTGATGTTAAACCGTTGCAAGAAACGAATGATGACTCGGGAGTGTACGATACGATAGTTACAGACGCGTTACACCAGAAAGCAGCACTTAACGAGGCGTTTTAGCCACTAATTTCGGCGAATTTTAAAAAATCATTAACAACATATTAAGAGCTTAAATTTGGGGATTATATTAAGAATACTGCTGTTGAGGAATGTATTTATTTTCATTATGCTATTTCAAAATTTAAAGCCCTTTAATTTTTTTTCTTGGAAACTGGAAATAATTAAAACTTTAAAATATAAGCATGTTCTAGATATATATTATTGCCTAATTTATTTTGCCAAAATTTTAATTTAAAAAAAAATTACTTTTTGAGATATGCTTGTCCGAAAATTATAAGGGGGTGCTGTAATCACCTTAAGTATATAAAAATGACTTTTCTAAAAAAAATGCTATTAATTTGAAAACACTAAAAAATCGTCTTATTTACTGTGGTGTTTCCAGCATCATTTTGAGCCACTTTGTTTACCCCTAGTAGGTTATTTAAAAAAAAATTGTACTATGGATTTGTTAAGGTACAATTTGAGAACGCGAGACCGATGCAAGCGATAGGCGGCAAAAACTGCCAGATTAAAAGTGCTGACGCGTCTCTTGCATCAGTCAGGCTGTCCCAAATGTGCTTCATTTAATTACATGTGAGTCAGATGTAAGAAACACATTTCGATCGACTTATGCGGTCGCTTGCCTCTGTGTCCTGTCTCGGTCTCGCGTTCCCAAATTGTACCTTTAGATAAGGTATCATAGAAATCAATTTTTTTTTTCAGAAATTTTGTTTTCTGGCGAAAGTACATTCTTAAGTTATTCAGAGTTTTCCCTTTTTTAATACATTGACCCCGTTTTCACAATCTTCTGTTCTTCACTAAAACTTCCTCTACCATTACTTTTACGAGTTTTTACGTTAAGGCGGTTCTAAATGTTTTATAAACAACAAACAAGACCGAAGCGTGTATTATTGTGAACTGACAGTAAAATGGCGAACACAGAACACATAGCGAATGGCACTTGTCACCTGTCTAAGGAAATACATCAAGCAGAGATTAGATCAAGCACTTAAGGGTGGCTCCATTTTGGGATGTTTATGCAAAGCTTATCACTTTTGTCAGGACTATATGTAGTCTTCATAGTCAGGACATAAACAGTGGCTCTTAGCACCGTCCTATGAGTTCAACTCAAAATCAAAAATGTTTGTTACTTCCACTCTTCATACTCATTCGTTTCAGAGAAAATACCTTATTGCCAGACTTTTTCGCTACCCTGTTTAATGTGTGATCAAAAAAAAAAAGTTTCTTAAGCAAGCCATGACCGAAAAGGACGACGGGTTATACCCATGATAATTATACACACACCACCGAGTGTCATTTAAAAAAGAATAAGAATTTACGTCCATATTTGTAAACAGTACCCCGCCAAGTTACTAGGCCGAGTGTGCCATTGAATGAAAATCGAAGATCTGATATGTCACGGGAATTTAAAGATGGACAATTAAGGATTTTACCAGCTGTAAAGTCCATTATATAGCTGGGAATACCAAGCACCTGTAATAGCCTTCGGCCACGTAACTTGGGTCGAATACGATTTATAAATATAAATAGTATTATTAGTGGCGTCTGCACGTATATAACAGGTACTATAACGTACCTAGTAACTAAGAAATAATATAACTACTTAAGTATTTCTAACGTCTAGTAAACTAGTAAAACATTAAAAGTTTTATATACCTCGGGCCAAGTGCGGATCAAGACTAGTGGCCATTTATCAAGGTATTTATACGTTCCCCCAAAATACTTATGAGTATTTTTGGGAGACTGGATGTAACCCTATCGAAAAAATGATTGTTCACTTTTACAATTCCTTAACTGAGTTGACTCAAAGCTGGTTTGGAACTGTGTAAACACCCTTGTGTGCCCCCGGAACAAAATTATTTGATCTGGTTTCCGGAACGCGTATATGGAAAAGCTATTTCAATACATCCCTCCGTCGGTGACCTACTGGAATAGGATTTTTAGGCGGTAAACTCGCAGAAATTCTACTCCAATATTGCGCTAGATGGTGCCGTATTGGAGTAGGATTATTCATTTATTTCGCAGCTTTAATATTCTTGAAATGCTATTTCAGTACAACACGCGTTTTGTTATTCTATTAATCAGTGATGTCCTGCGGTCACTTTCGACTGGACATCACTCTAGTTAAGTTTCAAGTTTTTTATTTCATTTTGCTGAAAATGTTTAACCACTCGAAAAATAACAGATAGAAGGGTTACTACATGCGGATCTCCTTGGACCGATTTTTACCTTTGGATTAAAGCTAATGCCCCCAACAGATCTATAGTAAGCAGTAAAAGACACTGCCTTCTTCAGTTATTTCAATCTCCGTTGTGGACTGACTTTTTTTATTATGACGTTCTTTGTCAATTCCACTTTTATTGTTTTGTGTCGTTGCCCTATAGCGAGCCCTACATCTTACATAATAAATTGTAATTTCCATTTTTCTGCTGTGGTAAAGACTTTAAGTTTCCCTCCCTCATTTACAAATTATATCATTTGTGTGTCTCAAAACGGCTGGTAGTAGATCAAAAATGATCAAAGTGTAGCCAACATCCATTTCACGCTGAAAAGCTAGAGATATTTCGAAACGATGAATTCAAGTTGGTTGCCCTTCTATATTATAAAGTACCAAAATGTGCTAAAAAATGACCCCCTTGACATACAAATAATTTACAGTGTGCCAAAAACCATTGAATAAGAATAGAGTACAAATACGTTTTTTATAACTATTGCAAGGAAACACGTACTGTAGCATTTCAGAATCTTTCCGCTGCGTAATAATGAGATAATCCTATTTAAATATGTCACCATCTGGCGCAATATTGAAGTAGGTTTTCTGCACGTTTACTACCTAAAAATCCTATTTTAGTTAATCACCTATGGTGAGACGTATTGAAGTAGCTTTTCTATACATATATGCTTTCCGGACACAGCGGTGTGGAGGAAAAGAAATGAGCCGAGGCGCTCGCTAAAAGAAGAACCGACTTTTGAGTTCATAGGACCAAATTCATTCCTTGGAATTGCAAGGAGAACAACCAATGGAATTATATCAAAATGGACAGAGGGTGTAACTTGAAAGATACCGCAGGGCTAACTCATTCAAAGGCGTTGATACTCTGACGGAACTAATGAGACAGGTAACAACTTAAGAAGGATAGGTCTACAATAAATGCCGGACTGTCGATTCTGCAGCGTATATTCTATGTACCCGCTCCATTTTAGGAAGAACTAGGTTCCGGAGCTTCAGATTCACCCGACTGGAGCCCACCGACTTCAACACAAGTCTCACCCAACTCAACCATGGCTTTCATCAAAAGGTGTGGCTTGTACGGTGAACTATAAGTTAGTCATGAGCCGTAATAAATCCATCTAGATCGCAGTGGAAGGCGATGAGATCATCCCACTCGCTTTTAACCTAACCTAACGTAGATCTTTCTACTAATTCGTGAACAATTTTATTTTATTTGCATGCTTTTATTATGGATTGTAATCTAGAAGCCTCAGTACTGTACGTCTTCAGAATAGTTACTACTCGGTGCTGGTCTTATTATTTGACATTGAAGTGATCAGAAAAACTTGGAGAATACAGTTCCAAACATTAGCCTTAGGTGTGAAGGACCAATCATACCCGACGGTTCTAGAAGTTTGAAACTGGGCTGACTAACGATGTGAATTAAGGGGCTGGCAATTCACACTGGCTGGTCTGGCTAGTAGTTGTATAATGAAAAATAATTTACCGGAGAAGAGATTATTGAAGTAGGATAATCACCAACCGCACGCCGTACCGGAGAAGAGTAATGATTTATCGTGAGATAATCGTTGTTAATTAGGCAGATAACTCTTCTGTGTAGGTGCTGCAACTCTCCATATGCATGTAGAGTTTTCAAGTATTCAAGGCACCTTGTACAGTGTCCATTTTAAAGTGGATAAATATTTCCTTGGTCTGAAGAAGAATCCCTGTTTCTTACCCGCAGCGGTGGCAATGGATTTTACCAAATCTTGTCTTTAGAGACTAATCCAAAAAATAGTTTTTATTTAAAAGCCGAATTAAATAAAAACTTCGGCAAATTTAAGAATATTTAAAAGAAAGAAGTGTAAAAATTGCCCCCAAAATTGTGACAAAAAAACTGTTTAAAAGACGGATTTTATATTTTAACTGTAATGTATGTTGGAATGTATTTTAAAAATGTTTATTATAAACTAGCATACACTGATTTTTAAACCATCTCATTTTTTGTTTCTAGATGACGACAAACCAGTGGTGGTAAAACGACGACCTAAAAATACTAATATTAATCCCGGTGAGTTCATTATTAATATTTTAATCTTGATAATTTCAATTTTTCAACTCTTAATCTTCTTTAACATCGGCAAAAATTAATAACGTTTACGTAATTCTTAAGTTATTTTTGCTATTTTCCAAAAAAAATACCCTATTCACAATCTGAAACAGTGACTCAAAGCGAATACACTAAACAATAATATTGTGCAGAATATTTTTATTCTATTTTGAATAACTGATTTGGTAGTTACTCGTTAAAAATGAACAATTTTCAGTTGTTTGAATTATTTTTATTTCTAAAAAGTGCCTGCATAAAATTAATTCCTTTCTATTTTTCAGTCGACGATGACAGGATCACGCGAAGAGAATCTTATCTCAAGGCGACAGAAGGAGGACGAATGCATATTGACAGCGATTTGAGCGACGGTGGAGATCTCTCGCCTCATGCGATAAGAAGGTATGTGACATTTTGTCGATTTTATTTTGTTAAATTTATGTTTGAAATATCAGTTTTTTTATTTCTTGCTTTCTTTAATTCCACATTTTCTTTATTTGAATCTGTAGAAAAAGTTCACTATGTCGAATGGAGTAAATAAATATATTTGAAACTTAATCATAACAGTGTTTAATTTCATTAACAGTAAAGTATTCAATTCCGTTCGACCATATGATCTTTTGAACTTTCTTAAACATATATTTTTCCATAAGTAGATATCTTTAAAATGAATTTAATTCTCAATTACTTTCACATACTTGTACTTAGTAGTTGGTAGTAAAGCAAACCTATACACGCTTTATATACATACACTTTTTATCGGTGCTTTTATCAGTAAATCACGAGCGTGTATTTAGTTGGAGCCAAGAAAAACTCCATAAACAGTTTTTTATAGCCTTGTCTATATCAAATACTGCTGCACTATTAATCATACATGTTTACAGTTCCTATAAAAAAAGAAAATATAAGAATTTTGTAATGAGTAATAACGTTCTACTTCAAATTATGTTTGATGAAGAATCAATTATAGTTTTTTTTTAAATACTTATTCATCGGAAAATATCGGCAAGAATTTAATCTTTATTTAGTTCGAAAGTTAGAAGTAAATACTTTAACCTCATCTTATACAGGTGAAAACAGGCATAAACTTCTTACAAACATATACGGTGTCTCCGGATTGACTGAAAAAGAGGAAACACTTTTTTATTTTCAACTTTTAGAGAATATGTTATTCTTCATAAAAATTTTTGCTTGTTTCAAAAATAATAATTCAAACAGAAGTTGAATATCTCTTTGCTTTAGTGAAATAATGACAAAAATGTAAAAAATAAATAAAAAGTAATAATTTTTGTCATTATTTCACTAAAGCAAAAATATATGCAACTTTTGTTTGAATTATTTTTTGAAACAAGCAAAAACTTTTATGAAGAATAACGTTTTTTCAAAAAGGAAAAAATAAAAAGTTTTTTCCTTTTTTTTTCAGTCCATCCAGGTTATAGTTAAATCCAGAAAAGCCTTATAAAGGAGTAACCCCTATTTGAAGAGAACCCTCTGAACTTTAACCTTTTAACTGTGACGCCACAAATAGGAGAGAGTGGTTTAAAACGTACTAATTTTTTTATCATCTACATTTTAAGATTATATTTATAAAATTTTACTTTCTTTAAGACTCTTGGTTGTTCATTTCGATAAGATTGATAGTGTAACATTTATTTATTTAAAACAGTTGTATTTTATTTAATTTATTTGTACACTTGTTGTAAATAATTTATTTACAACTTAGAGATTATAACTATCTCAAATACTTATTTTTTATAACAACATTATTTACGTAATTTTTTTGTTTCCGGGCTCTTATGCCATGGTCTTTCTGGTTATTACTACCAAACGTTTCATAATACTATTACCGCCAAAAAAGAGCGCGCAGACACGCATATAAATACAACACTCGGAGCGAAGGAGGATTCACTGAAGATGGCTGCCGCAGTTGCAGCTGAAACGTTTGGTAGTAATAACTAAGAAAGACCACGAAATAACAGTCCGGAAACAAACAATTACATTGACGGCGGCCGTGAAAGCCTATATTCTTACAGCACTATTTATATTTCAAAATATTAATCTTTATACAACTAATTCCTTTCGATCGACTTAATTTCAACCGGCAAAATTCGTCTATTTATATAAAAATGCGGCGCACGGCACTGGTATTGTTCGTTGCAAATTATAAGAAATGGAATTCTCAAATCACACTATAGACAGGGTCGGAATGAGAAATGTGTGTAATGAAAATGAACAAAAATGTTTTTTTTTACATTATTACGTGAGAAATTATAAGAGAAGGAATATGCAGCGTTGCTGTAAATAGGAGCAAATAATTTTAGACAATTTTACAAGTACCAAAAGAGACTGAGACTTTTAATTTTTTAGCTACAAAATTAAATAAAATAATTCATACAAAATCTCTGATTTAAGGATTATCATTTTCACTAAAATCTCCGTCACTACTTTCAGCTACGTTAATGATAAATCTTTGTGGAGTCCTTATTGAATATTTATTATCAATAGCAATAACATGTTTAATCACGTTTGCCCAATGTACATTAGTAATTTTATTAAATGCATATTTTATTAAATTAATAACATTCTCACTTGATTTACGAGTAATATTATTATCATGAAAATCTTTTTTTAATTGAGCTCATAATAATTCTATGGGGTTAGAATTGCAATATTAAGAAGGTAACCGCAGAATGTTGTGCATGACTTTTTATAACGTTATCTACTACGTACTCATTTGTAAAATGTCCAACTTCTAAAACTTCTAGTAGCTGCTTTTTAGTACAAGTCTCTTTAAAATATAAATTATTTTCCATTAAAAATTGTTGGATCGTAGGTTTTTTTTTGGTTGGAAATTTGCGAACTAATCTGGAATGATATATTATCTAACACAATAACACTCTTATTTTGTATTTTTGGAATCGAATCATATCCTAGCCATTTTTCAAATTAATCTTCATCAATATCTTGATAATAATCTAGACTCCTTTTTTTGTATGCTTAGCCGATAATAACAGAGCATGCTCCACCCAACCATATGCTCCTCCACAATGTAAGATACATATTATTTTACCCCCAGTAGATACATCAGCTACGCATTTTTTACCATCAGACCAAATAATATATCACTAATCGACAAGATAGAATGATTCCTTGTCGTTTGTCCACCACTTTAAATCTAAAACCATGTGATATTAAAAATCTCTACAAATTAAGTAGTTTTGTGGCAATTTTCAATTATCATTTTGTTTTTTAGTTTTCATTCGTTTGCTTAAATTTGGGAAGTTGTTTGCATCATACATGTCATATAATGTTTGAATAGTTCTAATAAATGCTTTGGTATACAACGAGAAGAACTGGAATCGTTTCTCGAATGTTGAGGTTCTCCTCCATTTTTTATAACTTTAGCTACTAATGAAGTAGAAATATTAGTAATTAATATTGTCCACTCCATAGCGGCAGACTGCGGTAACTCCAATTTAAGTTCTACAAACAAATAAAATTGTATTTATCAACAAATCCTGCCAAAAAACTATTTATAACATATGCATACAGTTTAATAAGAAAATAGATAAATCACTATTGTATACGTTCAGAACTTGTTTAGCATTTACCAAAGCCGGCACATTCACATTAATTTCAGAAATAAATTCATCACTTTCTAACTCCATTATTTTAACGACAAACTACAAAACAAAAATAAATCAGGTTTGTTAACGATGGTCGATGGTTCAACCCTGTCCTTTCAACAGCGCAGAGCATTACAACAGTACCTCTATACAAACAAGAGCATTTAACTGTGACACTTATTGACTACCCACTTATTCAATACCTAAGGGTCACAATTGTTTGTTAAAATTCGGACCGCTGTTAATAACTACAGTTATCAGCGCGGGTAAAACAACTGGGTTTTTCCAAATCTTATAATTTGCAACAAACTATACTCGTAGTTTCCAGATGATCTCTAACGCTATAGTATTGCTGTCGTTACTGCATTGGGTAAATTCTAGATAGTTGTGGACAACTCGAAAAATTTCATGTAGGTGGACTGCCAGACGAGCTGGCAACAACGAATGCAGGATCGGACTGGTTGAAAACGACTCCCACGACGATTTCAAGTTTTTATGACACAAAAAACTAAATTAGCCATGAAAACGACTCCCACGACGATTTCAAGTTTTTATTACACAAAAAACTAAATTAGCCATGAAAACAAAAGTTTATTTATCGTTAGGTTTGTTTCAACAGCTCCTTTCTGATGTATCTCTGACTCGTGTATGGATGCATTCGTAAAGTAACCACTGTGCATGTCAGTCCGTTTATTTGTCCGTTGTTTTACCAGCGACTTGTACGTGTAGGAACGTAAAATGCAATGGAATTGGACAAACGAACCACATGTTTAGTGAATAGGTATTTAAAACACAACCTAATACATTTAATTAGCTCTTTCGAACGATCTATTTCAATGTATAATTTTGATACCTTAAAATGTTTATTTTTATTAGGATTAAATATACTTATTTTGCATAAAACGTACACAAGATAAAACAAAAATGATTCACCATAATTGAAAGAAATAGAAATCCAATCCATTCCAAGCTAACTTAAAATCACAACAATAACAAACAAATAGCAAGATACAAGCGATGAACCTCTGATCGTTTTGACAATCATAGGGGATTTTAAATCAGATAATATGTCTTGAATCTGACTACAGTAAAAACGTGGTCATCACAGGTATGAAGTGTCAAATGAAATGACAAATCGTCTGCCTAATGTGAAAATTGCACAAGTCCCAAAACCTAAATTTGTATCATTATGAGTGTCTTGATCTTTTTCTTTGAACAGTTTTATTGTATTGTTTAATTCTACAGAATCGCTAGTTAATGTTCCAGAGCTATCGTTAGTTATGTCCTTCAAAGCGTTGGCCGGATGTTTTGTTAAGGCCACAGTACCACCCCCAATATTCGTAACATGAACTAATTTTGATAGATGTCATTTATATGTCATAAATTAAGAATCCTTTTGTTCAACAGATGGAGCAATATTCCATATTTAATAGTTCTTTTGTTCAACAGATGGCGTAATAATTTTATTAATTTTAAACGGTAATTGTTATAAAATAACAAATTCATCACCCCTAGCCACTACGCGATGATACGTAAACGAGTTCTTGACCTTGCAAATATTTTCGATGTAGCAGGTATAAAAATAATATTTTGGATTACATTCGGAATATCGGTTATATTTACTTAGTAGTTCATTCTTGTGTCCAGTCAACAAAGGATAAAGGTCTTCGTATCATTACGTAGGGACCTATTATACCATACATGGTGTTTCGTTAAGAATGGGACATAGAACAACTGACGATTCTCTGAATAAAATAAGACAACTAAACAAATCAT